ACTGTCAGACTGTCCCTACACACTGTACCGAGGCACTGTCAGACTGTCCCTACACACTGTACTGAGGTAATGTCCAACTGTCCCTATACTGTGTACCGAGGCACTGTCAGACTGTCCCTACACACTGTACTGAGGTAATGTCCAACTGTCCCTATACTGTGTACTGAGGCACTGTCAGACTGTCCCTACACACTGTACTGAGGTGCTGTCCGACTATCCCCACACTCTGTATCAAGGTATTGTCTGCCTATCCCTACATTCTGTACTGAGGTACTGTCCTGCTGTCCAACTGTCCCACAGTAGTGCCCAAGAATATCAAAATGAATACCTACTAATATTCAGAAACTGAACAGATATTTAATAAGCTTTAACACGCTCAAAAAACAAAATGAACAAAATCAATGGCCTTCACCCAATACATTTCAGTGAGCCAGTTTTGCTTTCAGTGGACTGGAACCTCTTTCTGATAGTATAATTCCATTCTTTTGTTAATTGGCATGCTTTGTGTATGTCTTAACAGGTGGCTATTTATCTGGGAAACAGTCGGCGGACTTCATCCAAAATGCCATTCTCAAATTGTGTGCACAGGTTCGAACTCTCCCTCTGTTTGTTTTCAGTATTTTTTCTGTGTTATTGTACATGGTGTGTAAGAAAGTTATTTTGTCTCAAAGTTATAGCTGGCTGTGTGCAGATGTGTTGAACTATTAGTTGTTTTTTTCCTTAAACGTTAAGAGTTATATGTCTTGTCCTCTCCACCTGCTGGTGCAGCTGTCTCTGGTTATTGAGCGTGTATGGGCCCCTGCATTGCCTTCATGTCCATTCGCACATGTTAGCCCAGTGAAAGACTCACGGAGACCCTATTCTCCTGCTCTTGGTCTCCGACAGTTGAAGGATGATGCCGTTGCTCTAGTGGACGTCATGGCTCCCCCTGACTTCATCCTTAACTCGCCTCTCGGCCGTGCGGATGGCGAGGTAAGCATCAGGCCGACAGGAATTATTTTCAATTTGTAGAGATTCTTACTGGCAAAACACACAGCTGAACTCTTCGGATGACTGAAATGGAATTCACGGTCAAGGCTGCATCTATTGTAACTAAGTGATAGGCCTTCATATTTATAAGGATTTGAACTGTCCTGTATTGTGGAAGAAATGTCAAGTTACTCCCTGATAGTACTGAGATCATGCTTATTGATTTAATGAAAACCACATTCCTTCTGTTTATTACCATGTACTAAGACGAGCTTCTCTCATACAAAGATATGTTCTTCTTAGACCAGTGTTTCCCAATCCGGTCCTCGGTGACCACCAGACAGTCCATGTTTTTGCTCCCTCCCAGCTCCCTGTTTTCATTTTAAGGTGTTTATGTTTGTATTAGGTAAATAGTGTAGGAATTGCAGTCCTTTGCATGTATGGCCCTCCCCCCCCCCAATTCCAGAGCAGTGTTTCTCAAACCTATCCTTAGGGACCCCCAGACAGTCCATGTTTTTGCTTCCTACTGGGAGATGGGAAGGAGCAAAAATGTGGAGTGTGGCAAATGCTGTCTTAGGCAGTAAAGATGGTTATTTCTGGTTCTATCATTCATGTCAAATGTATGACAGATCTGCTCATGCTTTAGTTGATCATGGAGGATGAAGCTGCTTGTGTACTAGTACCACACAATGTACAGTGAACTCAGTCTGTATGTCTGTATGTCAAGACCACATGTTTGCTTTGTGTTCCCAGCTTTACAAGAACCTGTGGTCAACAGTCCTCCAGGGAAATGGGGTCCTAGAACGTCCATCCTGGTGGTCTGAGTTCTGTACCAATAAGCCAGTTGTGGGGTCCCTCCGGCCCAAGCTGTAGGGGTTGTGGACCCATAACTCTGCAGGTGAAGTCAAATCACCGTCATCTTCAGCAGGTCTACAGATGGGCTTGATAACAAACCTCACCCCACCCACACAAGAAGATCTATTTTCATTTCTTCACGAGGCATAAGAGGAACGTCATCGCAATGATATATTTTGTTGTTTTCCATTTTGACACTAATCCTGAGTACTGGGAACATTACACCTCCTGAACACAACTGATACCAGCTTCTGGATCTACCCCAAAATCATTTTTATTTGCAGTTGCAATGACAGCAATTAAGATGCCAACATTACCCATTGAATTTATGTTCTATTATTTTGTAATGTAAATATTAATAAATTTTAATTACTATAAAACAATAGTTTTGCAGAAATACACATTCTGATGTGACGCTATAATTGGTCATTTGACCTTTTTAACATTAAAATAGTTTTGACTTTAACATGAAATTCTGGGCTTATTTTAGTCACGGGTCTTCCCTAATACTTGCATCGCTGTCAGAAATTTGACTTTAGCAGACTTGTTTTGATCATTCCCACTTTACATTTTGATTTCAGCAGGAGGAACGGCACAAATATGGTTACTGTCATTCTGACATTACATCCTTATGACTTGCATCCTAATGTAGATGTTTAGTTATAGTTTGGTGTTATAAAAAAGGTCACCATTTGAATTTATATCAGCAAATACTTAAAAGCCAATGACTAGATCATTATTACAGCTACGTTATGCAGCAATAAAGTGAATCAGCTGAGTACCTGAATCTACTGAATGGCCAGGTTACACCTCCATCCATCATAAATGGATTTTTTTCTTCCCTGTTGGCA